GTTCAGCCATTTTTAGAGCATTGATGTGAGCCCTGCTAGCCTGTCAGTCTCATTCCCAAACACCAATGCAGCTGTACCTTAACACCGTCTTTATGGGACCAAATCTAAGTGAGCTAGAGGCTTGATGAAGCCACGTAGCAACATGTTTGGCTTCTACGTGCTGTTGCGTACATCTAAGAACCACTTTCCCTGAACTAATCAGATTGCTCAACCAGTTGGAACAGCAAAGAAAAATGCCAGGAGGCACAGTCACTTGGGATAGATTTTCTAGCTTGTGTATGCTTTCCTTACTCTTGCATGTGCAAAGCAGTAGTAGTTCTAGTCATCAAAATGAGATGGTTTAGATTTTTCTATATTCCACCAGGCTGGAATGGGTGTATCCACTAAAACCTAGGGACGTCTCATGTTGGTATTGCAGTGGCGTGTAGTGGCTCTATGCTCGATGAGGGTCCTATGCTAGGAGTTGGGCTACGTCTAGACTACAGAGTTTTTCCAGGATACCTCCCGGAAAAACTCTGCCACATTCAAGGAATGTGTGCGCTCTTCCAACATTTTTTTTGCAGAAGAGTAGATGCGCTCTTTTGGAAGCCCGTCTTCCTCATTTCATGAGGAAGAAGGGCTCTTCCAAAAGAGGTTCTTCTGAAATTTGGTCCAGTGTAGATGAGCCAAATTTCGGAAAAGCCTTTTCTGATAAAACTCTGTCCAAGGCTAGATGTAGCCTTGGACAGACAGTAAAAGCACAACGTGACTGCCACAAAGCTAATTTTAGGTCCTGATTCACCAAAGCATTTCTGCATGTTCTTAGTTAGCACTTGTTATTAGAATCACAGTGGGCCTATTGGGGTTCTATGTAAGGCCCACAAGACATTTTGTTTCCTGTTGCCATCCGTGCACACTGTTGCCAGATTCAGGTGGTTTTTGGCCATGGCATTTTTTTTCCTACCGGTATTACAAGTGACATTCATGTAAAGCAAGGGAATGTGACTTGAGGTGCATGCCGATTGCACACAACAGTGAGAGAGAGCTGTGCTCCCTCTGCAGCCAGTAAAGCACTGCTATGGTTCCATTGCACCCCCACGAATTCTAGGTCCGCAAGCGCATTTAGCAGAACTACCCTATCCCGGAGGCTGTCTTGCTTACGGCAATCTTTGTGGTCCACTGAGATGGACGGCCACTCATGCAGCCCACTCTCTAGCCTCGGTTGCCCGTCACTGTATTCGAAGCAATAACCATTTCAAGCACTGGAGTCGTTTACTGCAGAAAAATAACATGCCCTAAACAGATTCATGCTCCCCACAATCATACCATATAAAACCAGCTACTAGTAGCGATTAAGAAAGCTTAGTGATGGAAGCAGCCATGACCAATACTATTTACCTGTTCAGACATAATTAGTATTGCAGAATCCCGGTGAGGCACATTAAGCCTTGTTCCATATTTAACCTCTCATGTCCACCAGAGTCTCTAATTAAGCCAACTGGAATCCTAAGCAGTGAGCTCACAGTATAATAATAAAGACTAATGCCTCCCATCTGAGAACCTCCATGTGCTTAGTGAGTTGTCTCACCGCCCTGATGAGGTACGTTTGTTATCCCAGTCTAGCAGGCGGGGTGGAAAATGTGGTACAGAAGTTAAACCCAAGATTTTTTCAAAAGCGACTGATTTTTCTGGGGGGGGGGGGGGGGGGGGAGGTCTGAAAGATGTGTCCAGGACTTCCTGAAAATCAGGCTCCTTTATATTGTCTCCAGTTGGAACCCCAGAAAGCAAGTCACCCAAAATTCCTAGTCATCTTGGAAAGCTTGGCCTAAGTGACTTGCTTAAGGGGAGACCAAGTGTGGGAGAAATGGAACCCAAGTCTCTTAGGGTGCGACTACACTGCACCCGGAGCTCAAAATAAGCTAGGCCATTTGAGCTATGCAAATTATGCAGCTTATTTCAAGTTAATTTTGAAATGGCTTATTTTAAAATTTGGCGCTGTCTACACTGGCCCAAATTTTGAAATAGAGCACTATTCTGAAACGTCCCTTACTCCTCATGGAACGAGGTTTACGGGGCGTCAGAATAGCAAGCCGGTTATATTTCCAAATAATGGGCTTGCTCAAAAGACATGGAATAGCTATTTCGGGATACTTCTGGTATCCTGAAATGGCTCCGCCCTGTAGACATAGCCTTAAAGTCTGTGTTAACTGCTAAAGTCCACTGCCTCTTGGCAAAATAAAATGTCAAACTCAGCTGTTGGGGATGGGTTCTGGGTTTGCTTGGGTCACTGTACAGGCTTGGAAAACAAAAGTATAGTAAACAGAACACCATAGCAATGGCAGTCTTAACTTTTCATTATTGCTTGTTCCTCGCCTAATGCCAGATCTGTGCATGGCCCTTTTCAGTACAGATAGAGGATCTCTCACCCAAACTGCTCACACTTACATGAATCAAAGGAACCGTGGAAAAGCTAGGGCATAAGTGTTGCAAGCAACAAAAGACTTTGGACTTCATTTTTGTTAGTCGTTTGAGCCCTGCAGGAAGTAGATTTGAAGAAGGGTAGCAGGTGCAGTTCAAGCATAGCCTGAAAGAAGGCACTGAGGCTTAAATGGTCTGAACAAAGCGGGTGTGAAAGTAGGAAAGGAGACAGCTGCGAAGGGCCTTTTTTTTTTTTTTTTGTTACTTCAGACTGGGGATGGAGGGCAGAGGGAGGAAAGACCACGAATAGGGTATGTCTACACTACCACCCTAGTTCGAACTAGGGTGGTTAATGTAGTCAATCGAAGTTGCAAATGAAGCCCGGGATTTAAATATCCCGGGCTTCATTTGCATCTTGCCGGGCACCGCCATTTTTAAATCCCCGGTAGTTCGGACTCCGTGCCCGCGGCTACACGCGGCACAGAGTAGGTAGTTCAAATCAGGCTTTCTACAACCTACTCTGTGCCGCGTGTAGCTGCGGGCACGGAGTCCGAACTACCGGGGATTTAAAAATGGCGGTGCCCGGCAAGATGCAAATGAAGCCCGGGATATTTAAATCCCGGGCTTCATTTGCAACTTCGATTGACTACATTAACCACCCTAGTTCGAACTAGGGTGGTAGTGTAGACATACCCATACAGCTGAAAATATGGAAATGTCCATGTTCTCTGGCATGTCCTACCAGGACAGCCATGGGAATTGGAGACTGTTACACATTTTGTTTTTTGTCTTATTCCTGTTTGGGCAAGAACTCAAACATTAAAAATAACCATCAGAACAACAAACCATGTATTTATAAAACCTGCCACAAGCATGATAGAAATCCCCTTAGTGCCCAGAAGGCAAGATTGTCTGCACAAGGGGGAAACCATTTGGTTTCTTGCTATTTTTATGGTGTATTAAAGAGACTTAAAAGTCCCCCTCCTCAACCATTCCCTTCTTGTTTCTCTTTACCTTGGCAATGTTGACTCTCCTCTTCCCTGGTAAGATGTGGACTCCGCGTCTTCAGTTAAGTGGCAGAGCGGTTGACCATTACACAGATCTCTTCTCCTTGCTGTTTTCAGGAAGTTGTGTTAAACAGGCATTAACAGAAACCAAAAGGTTTGAAATGGTGACAACTCCTCTCCAGTGAGCTTTCACTCTTGGCATTTGTGATGTCATAGTACGAACAGCACTTGGAGATGGTGGGCCACTCTCAGACACGCTTGGTTTCCTTTGAGCTTCTCCTGTGGTACTGAGGGGGATGGAATCCAGTTTTCACTCCCCTGCTGGAGTCCCTAGAAGGTATAGAAGCAGTGTAACCGGTTCCTGTTTCCCCTTCCTACAGTCCCTGGAACAGGGCTGATGAGTCTGGGAGGACTGGCTGCAGCACATTATGCTCCAGTTATAGCTGTGCTCAACTGGCAAGACTATGCCAGTTGGCAAATTTTAGGACCCCCAGGTGACTCTAAAATACACCATAATCTGGCTTGGGACAAGCAATCTGGGAGCACTAACAGGCCCCGCAGAAGCCAAATGCTGTGAAGGGTCCAGTGACTTCAAGAAAAAACAAAGTAGACCAAAATGGT